CACAGAAGAAAAGTGTTCAAACAAGACAGTAAAAGCTAGAACATCAAGTTTACTGTGCTTAGTGGCAAGTTAGTCATCTTAGAGAGTGTATAACTGCATAAGATTTTGTTTCTTTCATTAATAAAGTACAATCTTAATCTGTTTTTTTTTTTGCACTCTGGGATACTAAGCCATTAAAGACATAAGCGGAAGAAAATGTTAAAAAGATGCATAAAAATCCTGTGAGCAAAAATCATAAACACAACTTTCAAAAATTCACAAAAACCTGTAAGAAAATTTACACTCAAGTGTAACTCAAAGAACACTCAAGACACTCAAAGTAAATGAATCATTAAATTTTACTCTAAAGTGTATCTGGAAATGATTTTCTCAGAACCTTTAAAGGTTTGCTCAATGATCTGAAGTACCGGTACTTTGTAGTAATCCAGTTTGTCCAATCCACATCCCAGCCGGGGTATGGGTAATTTTGCAATGTTTAGTTCATCACACCACCTTCGCATGCAGGTCAAGCTACTTTCAAAATCTTGATATGTAGGGAGATCTCTGCCAAGTGTTTTTTTGACTAAGTGAAAGACAACCCTGTCTGCTTCATGTGTTAGAGCACACTCTCCGTTTACTTTTCCTTGTGCTCTAACTTTTTCAACTCCGTAATGTTCTCTGAATTTTTTGGCTATGCCTGCGCTAAAGGCACAGTCTGCGCTTACGTAGTGTGCTACCGGCTCTCCTGGAGGAGCCGAAAACAGATCTCCTGTCTTAAGGACAATTTGCAATGCTTGTACTGGTGGGTGAAAATTTTTATTGGGGTCTTCTTCTCCTTCGGTTGTATGTGTTTGTGTATCACCTTCTTTCAAACTCGGTGTACTGTCCCTCTCTTGGACCTTCGAAGCAAGGTCCACTCTAGTGTCCTCCAGGGATCTTGATGGAGGGTCAGCTGGACAACACTTCAGTAGAGCTGACCAGCGAGGTTCCTTCCATTTGCGCTTGTAAACTCTCGACCGTACCCAGTCCCAGGCGTGATTGGCTGGAGATGTAGGCTGATCTGTTGTGGGAGCAGCCGTGGAGGACATATCCTGAAACAAGGCTACTAATGGTGCAAGCTTTTCATAATACACCCTGTGTGACAGGGGCTGGACCGGCTCCAGCTGCAAAGGATCTTGTGGGCCAAGGAACTGTCGTCCAGTTAACAGTTCAAAAGACGTGTATCCTGTCATGCGGCTCACAGAACTTCTTATTGACATTAAGGCTAATGGGAGGGTAGCTATGAAGTTAATTTTGTCTGTGCACAGATTTTTGCCAATTTGTTTCTAAATGTCAAATTCAATCTCTCATCTTTCCCTTGTGATTTTTGGGTGGTAGACTGCATCAAAATGATGAGTCAGGCCCAAGGCCTTTTCAACTTGAGCCAAATGTCCATTTTTAAAGTGTGAGCCATTGTCAGATCTGATTCGTCTGGGAAACCTGTGGTGAGGAATGTAATGATTGATCAAACATTTAATTACTGCAGTACTGTCTTCTTTGCCTACAGGAAAAGCTTCTGGCCATCATGTCAGTGATTATGTTCATTAGATCAGTAGAAATACTCCATGTACTCATTCATAAAATCCTGTTGAAGAATAAGAAAAATGTTTGTAATCCCTCCAGAACACGATCATGACCTGTCAAGGAATAAGTCAAAAACATCCGTACAAAACATGTTTTCTTAAGTTTCTTGATTACATACATTCCTCTTACACAGTCTCATACACACACACAGGCTCGAGTACACACCTACAGGACAAACAGACCGACATGACAAACAAGGGGATCGATGCCATGTGAAACATCACATATAAAAGAAATTGAGAGGAAAAAATTCTCAAGTCACAACTGTCCACATGTAAATTTGTTTTCTTTTCCAAAAATTGTATCCAACTCAAATTGGCCTAAATACTTTCTTTAAAAATTTGTTCCCGGTGGCAATGTTTCTTAAAAGAAATTCAATCTCACTCGCCATGATCGATTACAAAAGGAAATATAAAAATATTATTGATGAGCTCTCAAAATAAAATATAAAAAAAAATGTATCTAAAAATAAAAAAGAAGACTAAAGGTCAAGTTGGAGTAGTTCCTAAATCTAAGAAGAATAGATTCTTAAGCAAATATTCTTCTGCACTAAAATTCATGTTCCATTTTATCACCTAAATTTCTAAAGATTTTCCCTTAGCTCATAAAAATCTCAGTCAGATTTATGATTTTTTATTAAGTTCATAAGTTTCTATTTTACAGTCATCAGTTAGTCTCAGATCAGTTCTATAAATCTCCTCCAAAAGTAATTTTTGTTAAAGAGTGAAATAAATGCTTTAGTTTCCTTATTAGATTTCTTTTCTTTTCTGTAGTCTCATTGTAGAACTCATCTGCTATCCATTTTTGGTATGATTGTAACAGATTTTTTACACCAGCGTCTCATTAGTTGTGTTATACTAGTGGTCATTTAGAGACAGAATTTCTTTAACTTCAGATCTTTAGTTCGTTAATCTACTTATTATTTTTTAAAATCTTAATCTACTTATTATATTTATTTATTTTTACCATAAAATGATTCTCTCATTATTCTTTATTTAACCCCATAGATTTCCTTTTAATATTTTCTGCTTTACATTGTTTTAAAGAAGGTGTTATTTTAACTGATTCTATTTTTATCTATTGCACTCTTCTTCTTTTAGCCAAACGATTTTTATGTTGTTTTTTTTTTATTATTGTAGTGAACTGGAGTGTGGGCCTCTTTTAAAACTACTGGAATCAAGGGATGCTGGGGGTAGGACTCTACCATCAGGGGAGGTCCAAAAGCCATCAGTATGTTGTACTGCGCCTCTGTTTCTCCACACAGATTCCTCCTCAGGAGTAACAGTATTCTGCTGCTCAGAGAGGTATTCTCGAGAAAAATCAGGAAGGAGGGAAGTCACATCTGGCTCTGGCATGGCTACAAACTGACCAGTGAGGTAGTCTAAAGCACGCTTAGCAACCATGTCTGCTGCCTCATTTCCTCTTGAGATTATGTCAGTTCCCTGGGAATGACCAGTGCACTTGATGATAGCTACTTTGCTTGGAAGCATAACGGCTTCAGAGAGCTCTCTTACTTCTTTCTCATGAGTTATTGGTCTGCCAGATGACGTCATAAAACCACCTCTGATCCACACAGGCAGCTCCACATGTGCTGCAGAGACTGATGCAGATTCAGAATAGATGTTTACAGCTTTACCCTCGGATTTCAATGCATTGACCAGATCTAGAAGAATTCAATCATTTCATTTTTACAGATTTCCAATTCTCGCATGCGCGTTTTAATTTCCTTTGGCTCCAGCTGAGCCTTCACAATCTGCAACATTTTCTGCCATTGCTGCCCAAGGGTCTCTTCACAATCCTTATCAAAATCACAATCCATTTCTCATCAACTTCTTCTCTTTACAGTAGGTTTATAATTCCGTAGATTCACAACAAGTCCTATTCTTTCCCTATTTAATGTAAGGCTTTCCCTATTCTTCCTACTGTTTGATTTAGAGCCAAATTCCCCTTTTTTATAGCGGGTATTCCCGCTACCTCTCGGACTAGGCCCTTTAAAATTAAAGGGTGGTTTTTATTAACCTGTCAGATACACATCTCATCCGTCGAAAAAGAGGTTGCTGCAGGTGTCCGATTTTTATCTTTTATTTTCACCAGTCCAATTCAGTTTATTATAGTGAGTTGTCCTCACTCTTGTATCCAATTCACCTTTATTTATAGTGGTTCTCACACTACCCTGCAAATCAAGGGCTTTGCACAGTTCTTAAGTCTTCATCAATAATTCGTCAATAATTGAGTCTCAAGAAAGGATTTGTCTAATTTTCTCATTTCACACCTTGTATCCTCTTTTCTCTTCACCTATTCAACTTTAATAATTCCTCTTAAAACGAAAAAAATGTCAAAAAGCTTTCTCCTCAAAAAATATTATTTTAAAATCGATGTTCGGACGATAAAAATATAATTTTTCCCAGAGATGTCCTCAATTCAACACTTGATTTAGTGTAATCAATTGCAGAATTTTATTAAAAAGGTTTCTGCTTACCTCTTTTTAAGGGCGGCCGGCCTTTGTGTTGAATTCAGGAATCTCATCCCATCCAAAAGTCTCCTTTAATCATCAAATCGTCGGGGTCACCATTTTGTTGGACTTTTGAGGGTCCAATGTGTGTTCAAAATGATTTTAGGAGAACGTGTATTAAAAGGTAGATTTAATAAGTATTATTACAAGAGGAGAACAATGCGGTGCACCGGAGAAAACTTCCCAGTCTGTTCACAGGATGATTTCTCTCTCTTGTCCGTTCGTCATCAGCTTTTAGTCTCACAGTTCAGTTTCACTCTCCGCCAACCCCCTGACGCATTTCCTTTGAAACAAAACTGGAATATTTTGGAAGAGTATCCTTATCTCTTCCTGCCTGGGAAGAAAAGGGGAGTCAAAGCAGTCCTCTTTCCCTTTTCCGAGGCCATGTATAATAAAACCATTCATTCTCATTATAGTGAGATCTAACTTAACAAGCATAGGAAGTTAATTAAATTTCCCACAAATGTAAATTAAAACAAAATCCGAAAGTACACTGTGTTTTCTCACAGCTTTTTTAAGACACAAAGTAGTGTTGTCGTGGCCAAGTGGTGAAGGCTATGGACTTGAAATATTTTGGGTTTACCCAACCAGGTTAAATCCTGCCGATAACGATGCCACTTTTGTGGTTTTGAAAGACTTTCAAGTGTAATTTAAAACTAAAAACCAGAAGCACACTGTGTTTTCTTACAGCTTTACATTTAAAAATGTTTTGTCGTGGCTGAGTGGTTAAGACGATGGACTAGAAATCCATTGGGGTTACCCCGCGCAGGTTCAAATCCTGCCGATAACGGTCAGTGCTTTGTTTCAGTTTTGTAAAATTCTTTTAAAGAAATTTAAAACTGAAAGTACACTGTGTTTTTCTGTAACTTAACAAACAAAGAATTAAGTTGTTGTGGCTGAGTGGTTAAGGCAATGGACTTGAAATCCATTTGGGTTTATCCGCATTGGTTTAAATCCTGCCAATCATGGTTTTCTGTTTCAAATAAAGATGTAAGTGTAAATTAAAACAAAATCTGAAAGTACACTGTGTTTTCTCACAGCTTTTTTAAAACACAAAGTTGTGTTGTCGTGGCCAAGTGGTGAAGGCTATGGACTTGAAATATTTTGGGGTTTCCCCAACCAGGTTCAAATCCTGGCGATAACGATGTCACTTTTGCGGTTTTGAAAGACTTTCAAGTGTAATTTTAAAAAACCAGAAGCACACTGTGTTTTCTTACAGCTTTACATTGAAACTGTGTTGTCGTGGCTGAGTGGTTAAGGCGATGGACGGGAAATCCATTGGGGTTATCCCGCTCAGGTTCAAATCCTGGCGATAACGGTCAGTGCTTTGTTCCAGTTATGTAAAAGGTCTTTTAACGAAATATAAAATTTAAAACTGAAAGTACAATGTGTTTTTCTATATCTTAACATAAAAGAATTGAGTTGTTGTGGCTGAGTAGTTAAAGCGATGGCCTTCAAATCCAGTGAGGTTTCCCCGTGCAGTTTCAAATCCCGCCGATAATAGTCAGTGCTTTGTTTCTGTTAAGTAAAAATCTTTTAAAGAAATTTAAATTTAAATTTGAAAGTACACTGTGTTTTTCTATATCTTAACAAACAAAGAATTAAGTTGTTGTGGCCGAGTGGTTAAAGCAATGGACTTGAAATCCATTTGGGTTTATCCGCCCAGGTTCAAATCCTGCCAATCATGATTTTCTGTTTCAAATAAAAATTTAAGTGTATTTTAAAACTTAAAACTGAAAGTACACTGTGTTTTCATACAGCTATGCGTTAATAGAATGTGTTGTCGTGGCTGAGTGGTTAAGGCGATGGGCTAGAAATCCATTGATGTTTCACTGTACAGGTTCAAATCCTGCTGATAACAGTAGGTGCTTTGTGTCTGTTCGGTGAAGATCTTTTTAAAGAAATTTTAAATTTAAAATTGAAAGAACACTGTGTTTTTCTATATTTCAACAAAAACACAATTCAGTTGTTGTGGCCGAGTGGTTAAGGCGATGGACTTGAAATCTGTTATAATTTCTCCGCACAGGTTTAAATCCTGCTGATAACGGTTTTCTGTTTCACATAAATATTTTATTGTAATTTAAATCTAAAAACTGAAAGTACACTGTGTTTTCATAAAACTTTGCATGAAAAGAATGTGTTGTCATGGTCGAGTTGTTAAGGTGACGGACTTCAAATCCATTGGTGTTTCCTTGCGCAGGTTCAAATCCTGCTGACAACGGTAGGTGATTTGTGTCTGTTAGGTGAAGATCTTTTTGAAGAAATTTAAAATTTAAAATTGAAAGTACACTGTGTTTTTCTATATCTCTACATAAAAAGTTGAGTTTTCATGGCAGAGTGGTTAAGATGATGTATTTAAGATCCATTGGGATGTCCCCACACAGATTAAAATCGATAACGTTTTTTTGTTTTAAATAAAAATGTAAGTGTAAATTAAAACAAAATCCGAAAGTACACTGTGTTTTCTCACAGCTTTTTTAAGACACAAAGTTGTGTTGTCGTGGCCAAGTGGTGACCAGATGTACACTGTGTTTTCTTACAGCTTTACATTGTCAAATGTGTTGTCGTGGCTGAGTGGTTAAGACGATGGATTAGAAATCCATTGGTGTTACTTCGCGCAGGTTCAAATCCTGCAGATAACGGTCGGTGCTTTGTTCCTGTTATGTAAAAATCTTTTAAAGAAATTTAAATTTCAAACTAATAGTACACTGTGTTTCCCTATATTTCAACATATAAGGATTGAGTTGTCGTGGCCGAGTGGTTAAGCCGATGGACTTGAAATCCATTTTGGTATCTTCGCACATGTTCAAATCCTGCCAATAACGGTTTTCTGTTTCAAATAAAAATTTTATTGTAATTTAAATCTAAAAACTGAAAGTACTCTGTGTTTCCTCACAGCTTTTTTAAGACACAAAGTTGTGTTGTCGTGGTCAAGTGGTGACCAGAAGCACACTGTTTTCTAACAGCTTTACATTAAAAAATGTGTTGTGGGGGCCGAGTGGTTAAGGCGATGGACTAGAAATCCATTGGGGTTGCCCCGTGCAGGTCAAAATCCTGCTGATAACGGTCAGTGCTTTGTTTCTGTTATGTAAAAATCTTTTAAGGAAATTTGAAATTGAAAGTACACTGTGTTTTTCTATATCTCTACATAAAAAGTTGAGTTTTCATGGCAGAGTGGTTAAGACGATGTATTTAAGATCCATTAGGATGTCCCCACACAGGTTAAAATCCTGCCTATAACGGTTTTCTGTTTCAAATAAAAATTTAAGTGTAAATTAAAACAAAATCCGAAAGTACACTGTGTTTTCTAACAGCTTTTTCAAGACACAAAGATGTGGTGTCGTGGCCAAGTGGTGAAGGCTATGGACTTGAAATACTTTGGGGTTTCCCCAACCAGGTTCAAATCCTAGCGACAACGATGTCACTTTTGCGGTTTTGAAAGACTTTCAAGTCTTTCACTGAGTTTTCTTACAGCTTTACATTAAAAAAATTTGTTGTCGTGGCCGAGTGGTTAAGGCGATGGACTAGAAATCCATTGGGGTTACCCCGCGCAGGTTCCAATCCTGCCGATAACGGTCAGTGCTTTGTTTCAGTTATGTAAAAATCTTTTAAAGAAATTTAAATTTTAAATTGAAAGTAGACTGTGTTTTCCTATGTCTCAACAAAATAAGAATTCAGTTGTTGTGGCCGAGTGGTTAAGGCTATGGACTTGAAATCCATTTTGGTTTCTCTGCACATGTTCAAATCCTGCCAATAACAGTTTTCTGTTATTGGCAGGAAAGTACACTGTGTTTTTCTATATCTTAATAAAAATAAGAACTTAGTCATTGTGGCCAAGTGGTTAAGGCGATGGACTTAAAATCCCTTTGGGTTTCTCCGCGCAGGTTCAAATCCTGCCGATCATGATTTTCTGTTTCAAATAAAAATTTAAGTGTATTTTAAAACTAAAAACTGAAAGTACACTGTGTTTTCATACAGCTTTGCATGAAAAGAATGTGTTGCTGAGTGGTTAAGGCAATAGACCAGAAATCCTTTGGTGTTTCCCCGCGCAGGTTCAAATCCTGCTGATAACGGTTAGTAATTTGTGTCCATTAGGTGTCCATTAGATCTTTTTAAAAAAATGTAAAATTTTAAACTGAAAGTACACTGTGTTTTTCTATATCTCTTTATAAAAAGATGAGTTGTCATGGCCAAGTGGTTAAGGCGATCTATGTGAGTTCCAATGGGATGTCCCCACACAGGTTCAAATCCTGCCGATAACGGTTTTCTGTTTCAAATAAAGATGTAAGTGTAAAGTAAAACAAAATCGGAAAGTACACTGTGTTTTCTCACAGCTTTTTTAGCACACAAAGTTGTGTTGTCGTGGCCAAGTGGTGAAGGCTATGGACTTGAAATATTTTGGGGTTTCCCCAACCAGGTTCAAATCCTGGTGATAACGATGCCACTTTTGCGGTTTTGAAAGACTTTCAAGTGTAATTTAAAACTAAAAACCAGAAGCACACTGTGTTTTCTTACAGCTTTACATTGAAAAATGTGTTGTCGTGGGCGAGTGGTTAAGGCGATGGACTAGAAATCCATTGAAGTTCCCCGCGCAGGTTCAAATCCTGCCGATAATGGTCAGTGCTTTGTTCCTGTTATGTAAAAATCTTTTAAGGAAATATAAAGTTTAAAACTGAAAGTACACTGTGTTTTTCCATATTTCAACATAAAATAATTGAGTTGTCGTGGCCGAGTGGTTAAGGCGATGGCCTTGAAATTGTTGGACTTTTGAGGGTCCATTGCGTGTTCAAAATGATTTTAGGAGAACATTAGGGGTGTAACGGTACGCTAAAATCGTATTCGGTTCGGTATAGTGTCTTGGAGAGTTTGGTTCATTCGGTTCGGTACAAAACAATAAGAACTTACATAATTTTTATTTTGAAAAGCTGCCAATACACAATAGAATTCTTGCATAAAATAAATAAAAGTGACACATTTGGGTGATATTTAAATAAATTGCACTCTTTATAAAGAAAAACACATTTTTTTAAATAAGAAATGAAATACTGCAACTAGTTAGGATAGATAGGATAGATTAACCTATCCACATTTTCTGAAGAGAGCACAGATCTGGTTGCAGTGACAATATCTCCAGCAGTAAAAAATGTTAGATTTTTTGCCTGCCCGACCTCCGTGGAACAATGTTGCCATACAACTTTAAATTTATCCACTCGTCTGTCCCCGTTACGTATTTTAACAGAGAAGCCAAAGTGTTCCCAAACAGGAGAGTGTAGTGGGAGAGTCTTCAAGCTTTGGCTTCTCTTTCGCTTTTCATATGATTCCATTTTCCTACTCGCGCTTGTCACTCAATAGCGTCTATGCGGAAACTCTCCATGGAATACTGAATACCGAAACGGTACGCAAGTGTACCGAACCGAACAGGCCGTACCGAAACGGTTCAATACATACCGTGAACCGTTACACCCCTAGAGAACATGTATTAATAAAAAGGTAGATTTAATAAGTATTACTCAATGCGGTGCACCGGAGAATCTTCCCAGTCTGTTCATAGGATGATTCTGAATCTTCTCTCTTGTTCTCAGCTCAATTATCACAGTTCAGTTTCACTCTCCGGGGTGTGGTGAGGCCATGGAGAATGCCCAAGGACAACTGTAGCCGCACATCCACAGAAGATCCCCGCATGCGAACCAAGCACAGCATCACGGCCAGTATCCATCCGAGTAAGGTTTCCCTCAAACAAAGAAATCCATAATTAATAATCATTTTTAACCAAAAACTTTTTTTTTTTAAGATATATACGGCAATTTGACTGACATGAATCCCAAAAATATGCTATACTGCACAAAACCAAAACACAGGAACCCCCCCAACGACAATACAATCCCACACATCCAAGAATAACACACAGCTTATTAACCAACACCACGATAATGATAAGGCACAGGTCCATCTTCCATCCGACATCCTCTTTCGCAAGACCAAGAATCCATCTTCCATCCGACATCCTCTAGCGCAAGACCAAGAATCCATCTTCCATCCGAGCAAAAACTCCCCTTTTGTGTAGTGGAATGGGAGTGAAAGCAAGTTATTTGTGAGATATGTGCAAAACCACATCTGCCCATTAATCATTGATAACAGTGGGAGTACCACAGAGAGAAAATTCCTTCCGGAGGCCCCTTGGGATGTCATAAGGATTGATCATTGGAGCATCCTCTCAGGTCAAAGGCTCTTTTTAAATCTCAATAGTGGGAACAGAAGGAATATTAGGAATGCTTGTTCTGAAAGAGCCAGCAAACAACAGACATAAGTAACTTTGATAAAGTAAGCTTTCGTTTTGTCAAACATTCATTCATCATTAATGACCATTCATACATTAATCAATATCTTTTCCCTTTGAATCACACATTTACTCTTCTCCATTCCAGGTCCACCTTGCACACAGGCATCACAGTCTTTCTGACTATGGAATAAGTTCCTTTCATACAAACAAAACAAACAGTCATGCATCCTAGATCGAAATATTTTACTTCCTTGCATTCAGTTTTCTCATCAATCAATGAGACAGGATTAACTGAGGCAGGAGTTATGTTAACAGTGTTGGAATCTACAGCAACATTATTTTATTTTGAAGACCAGCCTGTAAATCATCCTTTTTTTCTATGGCAGCCACAATCACCCTGTTACACAATGACCTGATGCATGGGATACAACAGCATCCACAGGTGACAATTATTGCCATGAAAGTTGCAATCGAGATAAACATAGACACAATCATAGCCTTATATTTTCCGAAAATTCCGGTCAGCCAATCATCCAAAGGATTATTAACACCAGACTGTTCAGCCATTGTTTTAGATAATACCTTAAGACCTTCTAAAGCTCTCGTAACGGAGCCATCCGGAGCTGTATTATTAGGAATAAAAGTACAGCAGTATCCTTTAACCATCTCACATACTCCTCCCTTTTCAGCCAAAAGCATGTCTAGTGCCATTCTATTTTGGATTGCCATCAATGATGTCGGGGCAAGTTGTTCTGCTAATCCTTCTCCTGCATCTCTAGTTAAATTTGCTAATCTCATTACATTGTAGTGAACATAATTTATTCTGTCTACATTCTTATTTGGGGTTATTGGGAAGAGTGCTGAGAAGATGGGTATGTTCTCAAATCCTGCTGATATTTGATCTGCTAATTTATACTCATCTGGAACTCCACAGGGAACCCCTATAGCATCTATATACGTGGGTGAGTTGAGACTTAAATCGAATGTTCCTATTGCTCTTTTCTGTCTGTCCTTTTGCTCTTCTTGTCTTATGCCGATTAATGTTAAGGGTGCTGTCAGTCTCACCATTGCGCATGTTCCTACAGTTATTTCATTCTCGATTCTTGTGAATAATCTATTGGCCCCACAGTAATAATATAATTCTCCTCTTGCCCATGGTCCCACTAAATCACCTTCTTTAGTTATGGTTTCTTCGCACCAAAAAGGATCTATGCTCCCTACCTTGATTTTTGGTCTGGCTGCGTTGAAATTAAAACACGTGTAGTTTCCTGGCTGTGGCACAAAGGGGCCTGTTTTTGTCTGATTGTTGATTATGGGAAAAATTTTAGATAATGTGTCACATCCTTCAGGGTTTGCCTTTTTTCGTAATAGATATCATGCAGTAATATCCTTTCTTATCCGTTTTTAGCAATGGGGCTGGTTCGGTTCTTAGCTTTTGCACATGCTACGCAATTTTCCATTTGCATTTCTTTAGCTGTTGTTGCCATCCATTCTATTTTGTTCAGCTTCAAAAATTATTAGTCCTCCCACTACGATTGCTGCCACTATTCCCATAAAAATCATCACCTTCCAGTTTTCCCATAACTGTACTCTATAATGACCCATTATTCAATAGCGGTTCTTGTTGGTATACTTTTAGCAGTAACTCAATACTGTAGTTTTCAGTAGCTCAAATAATGTGTACAATATTGTGAAGTGTATATCTCAAAATATAATAAAAGTTGAAAATAGAAAGTTAAAGTTGAAAACTAGAAAATCACAAATCACACGGAAAATTACTCGGTTACAGAAAGACCCACTAAATTTACAAATTATAAAAGATGTTCAAATAATATATCAAAAGAGAAAATAAGCGTCTTAAAAGCGAAAAGTATTAAAAAATATGTAAAACTTAAAAAAAAAATGTTAAAAAGGTATTTACAAAAAAAATTCTGTAAGTAAAAAGGTAGTTTAAAAAAATTTTCACACAAGGTTTTCACTCTAAAGTGTACACGGAAATGATTATATCAGAACCTTTAAAGGTTTTTTCAATGATCTGGAGCACTCTATAGTAGTCCAGTTTGTCAAATCCACATCCCAGCCTGGGTATGGATAGTTTAGCAATATTTAGTTCGTCACACCACCTTCGCATGCAGGTCAAGCTACTTTCAAAATCTTGATATGTAGGGAGATCACTGCCAAGTGTTTTTGTGACTAAGTGAAAGACAATCCTGTCTGCTTCATGTGTTAGAGCACACTCTCCATTTACTTTTCCTTGTGCTCTTACTTTTTCAACTCCGTAATGTTCTCTGAATTTCTTGGCTATGCCTGCCCTAAAGGCACAGTCTGCGCTTACGTAGTGTGCTACCGGCTCTTATGGACAATTTGCAATGCTTGTACTGGTGCAGGGCTCTGGACTAACTTTTTGCACTGGTTGCACTGGTGCGCCTAAATTTTTTTCTTAGGTGCACCAGCACAAAAGTTAGGTGCACCCAAATTTTCAACTGCATCACATTTAACACCGCATTTCCACAAGTTCACTTTTTTTAGTTATCTATTCATTTATTTTTTTTAAATCACTGTCCATAGACAATATTGACTTGTAAATGATTAACTAACAACCTGGTCAATATAAAGTTCTTTATTTGAAGCACAATTCCACAAGAAAGGTAACTAAAACTTACTGAAAAGGTGTTTAAAGTGCTTTACTGAGCTGAAATTTAAACTTTAAACTGATTTTGGTCCCTAAGAGCAGCAAATACAAATAAAAACGATAATACCATTTACTACCCAGATCAAGAGTTTATAATGCAGCCTATTTATTTACTTCTTTTGCAATATTGTAGACAACGTTAAACTTAATTATCATCTCGGCCTCGTCTGATCTGTTTGCAGCTGCCTGCCGCTGTAAAGGTACGTTCACATCGAACGCGGTTCGCGCGGTAAGCGCGGAGGGTTTCCATGTTAAGTCAATGCAAAGACGCGTTTGCGCGCATCTGAGGC